AAAAGCTGTATGCATAAAATACTTTTTCAACTGCCATTAAATGGGTGTAAATTAAACACTTAAAAGAAAAAATCATAATATACTTTGCTTAAAGAATCATATCTAGTTACTATAAAAAATACTGATATTATTTGAAATATAAACATTGGAATCATACCATATGTTTTAAGTTATCAACCATATCTCCTTTACAGCAATACTGTATGAAATGTCTCCATTCTAAGTTGAATTATTTGAAAATATTCCTTTCACAACAATGTGTATCTTGTAACAGATACCAACTGTGAGAGCTCAGTAAATTACCAGGCAGTTTGACTATATAATTATATTTACTATAAAAAGTATTAAAAAGACCAACACTGAAATACACACCCTTTGATGCACACTCTAGTTAGTAAAAATCGTGTATGTTATGTTGACTTCCCAGTGATATAGTTACTACAAAACAACTGCTGTATTCTTTTACTTCTACCATAACAAGAATAAGCTTAGTTATATAATAAACCTTTTGGTACATCCTCTTCTTCACATAAATATTCTTGTAAGTACATTTATCAAGCATTGTTTGTGAACTAATTTTTGTCCTTACATTACAATGCATTATTAGTACTAAGCCTTAAGTATTTTCAACTTCTAATACAATTAAATTGTATGCATTTTATGAAATAATGAATAACACTTTGAGATGAAATATATTTTCATTAACTATTAAACAACTGTTTCATTTTGGTTAACATAAAACATTAAATACATTACTCACAAACACAAGTACATTTCAGACTCTAAATCATAATAAGACTGATAACTAGAAAATTATCATCAATCTTATTGAGACATAATGTTACACACACACACTACTGATCAAAAGATCATGCTTGGCCAACATAAGGTGTTACACACCATAATAATTGATACATTTCAGATTCTTTAAAAAACATCCTTCAAGTTTCCCTTAGGTAACATTCACAATATGACCACCAACTGGTTGATATATGTAATCTCCAACATATTAAAATCAGGGATAATTGTGATATTATGTTTCAAAACCTTTGAATTAATATTTCCTGTTATTATAGTCACTATTGTTATAGTAATTACAAATGATGAATCACCAAAGCCTTTTCTTCCTGATAACATGCCTTCATTTCACCAATTCAAAATGTTGGTTTTTAAACCCTAACAGCTCCTTATACATAAATGGGCTAAATGTCCACCCCCAGCCATACACAGAGCATTTTTAGCAGAATATCATGGTCTTGCCCAACCCCTTACCATCTCAAGAAGAAAATACTTTAATGGTTCAAAAAAGAAATTCTATGGTTATATACATATCAACCAACATAACTTACTTTCAACACCAGATAAACTAATACTTATACGTTAGTTTAAATAACAACATTTATATCAGTGCATTACTTGCAACAGTTAAATAGAAACACCATTCCAACTGTTTCAGGAAACTTTCCATTTACTATTTTAACATAGGGGAGAAATTGCTGAACAAGAAAGCTCTGACACTTCAAAAAAACATTTATACGTGTGTGTTTAGATACAGCTACTACAGTTTTAAAAACATTGGAATTTTACTTGAAATACCTTTTCACTGCTGGAAGGAAGTTTTTTTTCATTTGAACTCTTCATCTGACTGTACTGATATAACTTATTTCAACTTTAATATTTTAATGTTAGTGTTGGTCAATTTAATTCCACTACAACTTACAACAGTATAATCTGAGAGGTGATCAGTGTAGCTTCTGTTAAACCTAATGTTTCATATGATTTTTATTCAGTATTTGACCAAGCTTTCTTGATCTATTGACTTTTTTTTTTCCTTCTTAAGTCTAATAGGTAATCTGATTATATCTATCAGCTTCATTTCTCTGTGTCTCAATAAATTATCCAATTCTGTTAGGCAGTTAACTTTTTTGAGCATAACATATTAACAAACCTAATACTACATTGTAAAAATACAAATAAGAAAAATTGTAAGTACGGTTAGTTCTTGATAGTGAATATATTCACTTCAAAATACCACTATATAAATTTACACTAATTTCAACTAATGGAATTCTTAAGGATGAAGTTTAAAACAAAGAGATACTGCATTATATTCATAAGTACGATAATTGTACTTTCTAATATATCATCTGTAGTTCTTTTATACTTAAGACAATACTGTTTTATCTATCCCATACTGGAATGTACAGAAGCTAAATCAAAACCCTGAATGATTACAAGTGGATAAGCAAAACAATTAATTTTTGATAAAGGCATAAGGTTAAAAACACAAACCTTAATTGAAAGTTGTTAGGATTATAGGATTAAAAAGTAGAGCACAAGCTTAAAATTAAGGTATGAAAGCTGTGTTCCATCAGGGGAGTAAAGCTTTTCAACACACCAATACATGTGTTAATACAGGCAAAAGCTGTGTTCCATCAGGGGAGTAAAGCTTTTCAACACACCAATACATGTGTTAATACAGGCAAAAGCTGTGTTCCTTCAGGGGAGTACAGCTTTTCAACACGCCAATATATGTGTTAATGCAGACACTGTTAACATCTTCAGGTACAGAAATGAAATAAAGAAACATTCTACCCTATCTGAGACATGTCTGATCATGGTTGTAAGCTTTGCAATCTGATGAAGAGCGCTAGCTCAAAATGTCATCCTCTCAATATAAAGATATAAAAAATTGGTGATTCTTTAACCTATTCTTTAATTATTATATATATGTCTGATCAAGAGTCATTCATTACAAGTATTACCACCTAGACATCACTGTTGGATTAATTACCAAACACATATACTTCGTACCAAGAGGGATAAAAGATGCTTTTTTGGCACAAGATATCTGTATGGAACTCCTATCAGTTTTTTGGAATGAATTTAGCTCCAAAAAGTAAATTTAGTCTAATGATAAAAAACACACAGAAAATAAAATAAACTATAATTTCAGACAACATGGGATGTAAAGGAAAACCAATCCTGAAAAGAACAAAGAAGTGATAATATTTGTTAGAGTTATTAGAATTTCCCTAGATCAGATCTCATACTTGAAAGAACATCTTCACACCATATATGTTGAAGATTGGTTAACTTCCACCCACACAATTCAGAAAGATATTGTTTCTATGACTCAGGTTCTTTATAGGAATTTAAAACATTACCTACGTCACACAAGAGTTCAACCTGAAAGTTTACAGGAAAAAAAGACTGTTGTGCTGGAATCAAAATATTATTCCTCCTCAGAAAGTTGTCCAACAATGTTACAGAGAACAATATTACACATCTCCTTTTAGCATATGGTAATTTGAAAAAAAAACAAAAAACAGTCTCAACAATGAAATTATTCTAACACTTTTAGCTTTTATAAGACATTCTGACAATGATAATTATGTTTAACAATGTGCACATCTAATATTAATAAAGATGAAAACAAGTTTTTATAGAAGTATACTTAAGTCTGGATTCTAATAATTTTGTATTTTTATCTTATATGTAAAAAAAAAAGAGTATTGAATTTATTTAAAAACAGTTCTTGAGTTACTTAAAAATTATTAGTAAATCTAGTACAGCATGTGAATGAAACCAGAAGAGCAATCACATTACAATACATGCATTATGTGAATCACACAATGCTTTAAAACATTGTGTATTTAGTAAAACTAAGCACCAGTTTAATCTATCATATACTTGCTAATTTAATATACTAAAATGTGTCTGATGAATCAAGTGCTATTTAAATGAGTAAATGGACATTTTACAAAATTGTTCTACAGGGTGGCACAAAAGTAACAGGACTGAGAGCATCTTCCATTTACCTATCTCATGTATTTACTGTTAGATAGAGATTGCTGTCAGAAAATACATTTTTCCTATATATGTTCCAGCCTTACTATTTTTGGGGTTACACTATATAATTAAGTAACTATAATATTAGTAATATTTCTAACATGTCTTTCGGCTATAATAAATTGTTTCAATTAATTAATTTGTTATAATTACAGTCAAAAAAGCATTGTTAAATAAATAGCACACGACCTTAATGTGTGTAAAGTGAATAACATTACTAACACTGTTTAAAACATCTAAACAGTTACAAGAATTAAACAATAGCTCAATGAACGTTTTAGGTTAGTCACAACACAATTGTTATAAGTTACAACAATAAACTTTTGTAGTGCTATAATCATGATTTAAAATACAAAGTTACAATAATAATCTAATTTAAAAAAAATGTGCAGATGGTATGTTTGGTTAAGGTGTACTTTTTTAAGGTTGCAGTAACAAAATGACAAAAATGAGTTGATATATGAAACAGCTAACAACAATAGTACATTCAAATTTGTGAGCCTAACAGTTTATAATAATAGGAAAATATGACGTATGGACACTATGTGATTCAAAGTAAACATGGATATGGCACAAACATTAATAAAACCAAACATTTAACTTAATACCAAAGTGACAATTCAGGAAGACACAATAAGATAATTCATTCACAAGTTAAAAAAAGAATAACTTTTCACCTTCTACATATTTTTAACTTTTCAAAACAACCCCTGTAAATAAACAATGAAACTGAGTTACCTTTTTTTAAATTTTGTATATTGTTGTCAAAATTTGTTTGAAATAATTTTAGTAGTAAGCTAAAACTTCAGTTTTATTTGCATACATATCGTACTTTAAATTCCACAATTAAAATTCTATCTTTTTTAATGTGTTAAACTTTTTCTTTTGGTGTTAAGCCTAACAGTTGAAAGTTTAGTTGGTTATTTAACAATAACAGTGGTTAAGTAAAGAAATTAATGTCATTATGTAATGAACCAGTTAATAATAACAAATTAAGACTGAGTAAACACAGTAACAAAAGAAAAACAACCTTAAAATGAAAGGAGGGTATATAAGTTAACAAAATGTCTTAATAAAAATGTTTAATGAATGTTATATAAACGAAACAAGAAAATAAACTTACAATGTAATGGATTAAATGAGGATGCTAAATAGTAGCACTGTTACATAAATACTAACAAAAATTTAACTGAATATTAAACATGCATTTAAAAAATAAGAAGACATAAACCACCTTAGATTTTATATGAAATACTGTTATCTATGTACACAATCCATACAAATTGAAACACTTGTAATAAAAGACAATTTACTGTAATATGAAAAATATTGGTGGGTTCTGCAAAAGTTTGGTTACTTAGGGCTAACAATATAACTTATTGTGTAGCAGAAAAATTAAGTTTGATTATGAATGTGTTAGAATATGTGAAAATTAACACATGGTTTTGGTGATTATGGAAAATCATTATGGATTTGTACTCAGTTTCATGCCTTATATAGTATCAGGTATAATCAAACCATCTTAGCATATACACAGGAATACACATACATATATGTATACTTATACATATATGGAATATTTATGTAACTGTACACTTTTATAAAACCTGCATCAGTTAACAAATTGGCTATTTTTTTGTAACATTCTGCACAAATTAAAAAAATATTCCTCTAGTATACACAGAAACAGTATTTGGCCTTATATGTTAGAGATTAATGCATGTACAGTATGTAAGTACAAATAGATCCTCATCATTCACTCAATGTCTAATAAAACTGCTCTCATTGTTTCATGACAAAAATTAAAAATTCAGAACTCCAGCCTTTTCTTTTACCTTTGTCCAGTCTGAAAATTATTAATGGTTTAAGTTTTTGAGATTTTCTTTCCACTGTCTTTTATATCAGGCTTGCCAAACTTCTTCTCATCATAGCTATCAAAAGTTTTCTTTTGTGTTTTTATTATCGTCTCCGCCTCCTCTTCTTCACTCAGTTCATCCTTCTCAATCGGACATTGATAACATCTAAAAATAAAATGTTTAAAATAATATAATATTTAAAAAAGTGTTATACCTTCACTTCCATACTGTCCAACACAATAATTTAAATTATTGAGTTGGTTTCAGCTGAAAAATACAATCAATATTTATTGCATGCAACACCTCGTATTTACGAATTTGGCAGCACACAAGGAATCTACATGAAGTTTGTTTTGTTGTTAAGCACAAAGCTACACAATGAGCTATGTGCACCATGAGTATTGAAACCTGGTTTTTAACATTATAATCCAATGTACTTACTGTTGAGCCACTGGGGGGCTCCACGAAAAGTACCACTGTTTGTGTTAGACCATGTAATTAAAAGTAACTAGGGCTGTCCTCTACAGTATAACTAAATGCACTAATAAAATGCAGAAAAATTTTCTAAGTTTATGAGCAAAATTATCTTTTCATTAATTACAGTTTTTATATATTTATACAGATGAGTTCACTTCTCTGTCATTAATTACATAAAACACAGGTTCTCTTCATATCATTTGTATGTGATTTTCACATACAACTTTTTATTGTTGGTTACCTGCAAAAAAACATTATCATAAAATATTTATTAGCAAGAAATGAGTAATTCATTTTAATTAATAACATAACAACTATCACACTTATTATGGCTACTGTATATGTAAGTTACTAGCTTTTTTCTAAGGAAAATACATTGGTGAGAATATACATCACTTTCGTCACTTCAAAATATGATTAAATTGAGATCCTAGTTAATCTAAACAAAGTCACAGACTAGCAAGAAATAAGATAGTATACTGTGGAAGCCTACCTCATGGCATATCTCTTTCAAATATTAATGCTTATATTGGCTCTGTTCAGAATTTATAAAATCAAGGAAAGTAGGACTGTGTTTTTTTGTTCTTTTTCTGGCTTAAAATTTTTTTGTGTTTTGCTAGCTTGGCATTTGTCTAAATAAAAAAAAACATTAATGTGATTTGTTTACTTTCCACAAACACTTAATAATTAAAAGTTTCTGAGTATCAAGAAATTTTGTTTCATTCTAGATGGTAAGAGAAGAACTTGTTATACTGCTTGCTTACCTGCTTTCATTTATTCCATAATTAATACAAGTAGAACCAATGCATTCACAACAACCATCATGAAACCATCGATAGCTGGCTGCTCCCATGGATCTACAAGAACTTTTGCACTTATTCCATGACATGCACTGAGACATGTAAGCAACAGTACAGTTTACTTCTTGATCCTCCAAGTCTTCTTCTTCAATTCCTGTTCTCACTGTTAGAAAGTAAGAATTCCAACTTTTAGTTCTGCTTTTAATAAATTATAGTCAAAAAAGACAATGTAAACTGTGTTAGCTGGCACACATTTCTGTCTTGTCATTATGAATAGTTAAATTTTAAACAAAACTGCAAAGTATCAATAAACAAAATGGTATTCAGTGAAGGTCTAACTCATGTTATACTTTCTAGTGCCCTTACTCAACTAGTTTTTATCCTCTACTCATTAAAACTACAATTTTCCAGAATTTCAAATTCTATAATTTTCATTACCTTTTCATTTTGTATGTTTTCAAAAGTAACTGTCAAATTGATCAAAAAACGAATATCAATGTGTAAACATTATAAAAAACTGTATGTAAATTTTGGTATTATTGAGTTAATAACAGAACAAATGGTGAACACAAAGCACTAACTATATACAATAAAATATTCAGATTAATGATCATACAATCAACAAATTAATCTGAGAAATTTTTCTTTTAAGTATTCATAAAATATTTTCATGGTGATTTTCATACTCAAAAACTAACATGATGGTTGTTTTTTTAGTTGCTCTTACATTTTATATATCCTGAAACTGAAGAATTAACTCCTTAAACCCGTGTGGACACTTCCACTGTCCAATGAAAAATCCCAATTTACCCACTTGACAGTGACAGCATTTGATAACATTTGTATTTGTTTAGCTGAAACTTATCCAAACCATGTTATTATCCATCTTTATAAATAGATTGGACATTCTGTGAAGCATTGTCATTTGTTTTGAAACAAATTTCAAATCAACAAGTTGTATTCGAGATGATTTTTTCAGTGTTTTCTTGTGAAGTCTAACAATTTGTTTACATCAATTGTAAAACAAAGATGATGAGTGGAAAGACGCCATGGAAATGTTTTACTGCAGAGCAAACAATGAGTCTGTTCAATCAGTCAAATGAAGAAGGGGGTGATGACGATGGTGATTCTGATCTGGAATTTGACTTTGGAAGAGACTCTCGTGATGAAAGCGACTCAGAACAGTCATCAAGACCCAGTTCCTGTGCTTCTCAATTAGCCGATCAGATGGGGGGCATCGTCCCAACCAGGACCTAGTGGTACAAAGAAGTCAAGAAAGTGAGCCCCAGTTAGACCTAATCCACCTCCTAGATCTACGTCCACTACCAGAACCACAGATAATGATTGGGCTGAAGTAGATCTGCAAGATAGGTCAGCCACAATAATGACATTGAGTTTTTGCCAAAGAACAGGCATGATCCTGGTGTACATACTGACATCAATGATAACTGAATGTCCCACCACTGTTTCAGATCTCTGTTTACAAAAGATGTACATAATGCTTTCATCACTGCTATCAATGAGAAAAATGTCAAAGCACAAGTTACAAAGAAAACACTTGCTCGGAAAAGGTTGAGGTATTTGAACTGGACTCCTTTTACCCACTATGAGCTGCTGAAGTTTCTTGTGATGACAAAATCAATGGGCATCGACAAATGTCCTAGCATTCGAGACTACCTCGACACCCACCAGTCTCTCTAAACACCCTTCTATCACCAAATGTTCAACAGGAAGAGGTTTGAGGCTATTTACTCAGCAATACTTCATGTGGGTAACTCTAATGCTGAAGGGAAAAACAAAATAAATAAAATTGAAATTTGATAAGGTGTGGTTATAATTATTAGGACACCATGAAAATAATTCCAGCAGAATGCAAAAAAGTATAGGTTTAAAGATTCAACAATCCTTTCATATTATGTATGTGGTAATGCACAAGAGCAATTAAAAACCCCATAAGGAACCTTAGGTATTTTTAAGTGGCTGTTTTTTGTTTTGTGTTCAAATATGATGTGCCCAGCTTACCAGAAGAAAACTTTATTTCATTTTTTCCATTTGCAGTAATAATTGTTATGTGTGCTGGGAATGTGTAGGATATCCAACGAAGCTTGTGGTCTTCCTCTTCAGTCAATACTGTGAAAAGTGCTGGAATTGGTTCAGGAAGATCTTCAACGTGTGACTTCTTACTCAAATCTGTGTCTGTGTCATTGGGTTTAGGACACAACTCTAGAAAACAAGGAATATATTTTTCTCACACTGTACCAAATATTGAACTAAAAATTCAATAAAGCAACTCCTTCAAAGAATCCACTAATCTTCTATTAAATCAACTTTCTCCAATACTAAAACGTATACATTTTACTAAAACTTTTATTAACAAAAACCACAGAGAAAACATTTTTAAATATTCTTCACATGAGCATGTGTAGGTTGCAGTCACAAAAATTCATAAATTTAAACATTTTAAATGAATAAATTTTTGATGTCATTAAACAGAATTTCAAACACATCTTTACTGCTTCAATATAAAGATTATGACATTATTAATTGTAATTACAAATCTTAATTGATTTGTAATAACAAACTGTATATATGTGTACGTGTATATTATAGTGGACATATTGAAATTAAGGCAGTACCTGGAATACATTATTCAAACTTTAAATCATGTTTTTTGTTTAGACTGTCTTCTGAAAAAAGTTCTGGAAATTATTTTTGTTACTGATTATGTTCCTTTCTCAAGAAATATTTGTATCCAAAACACCATAGTCCCATTTTAGCAACATTGTATAAACATCATTTAAATAACAGAAAATGTTCATATACACTTTAACCCTATGTACACAGGTGGGGGTAATAATGTGCATGCCAAATTTTCTTATAGAGTGACATTTAACATGGTATTATGCATTTGATGTCAGAGTTATCAACTATCTATACTATTATTCTGCTTCTTTGTATGTACGACCATTACGCTTTGTGATTGAGAACCTACTGAATAAGCATGCGTAGTTAGAATGTTTCCCCAATAAAAACCGCGCATGTGCATTATTCACTCGACGACAAACAGTCTGCCTGCAGCAGAGAGCTGCAAAGCTCAGTGATCAAGTCGCTACAATTGCTGTATGAAACAAGAAGTAACAACAAAAGGAGAAGGTAAATATACTTTACTAACCATTTTATACAACAGAATATTAAAAACTTATCAAAGTTTTTAAAAAAGTTTGATGTTAGGTTGTAGAATAACATTTACTTATCAATAGTATTAAGTACAGTAAAGTTTAGTCCTAACTAAACTAAAGTAAAAAAAAACGTACACAGGTTACAGTGTTAATTTATCTCTTTATCGAACTTAGGCCTAACACAAGGTAAAGTTTTAACATACAGCCTATATACAAGTAGATTTACACATTTCATTGTCTACGATTACAATTCGTTTGTATTGTGCTAGAAATGTTATATCTAAAGAATTACTGTTACAATAAAGATACTAATTTGGCCGGAAATGTTTTGCGGGTCTCTGCTAGTTCATATTATCCTACATTGCTGGTTTAGCAACAGTTCATGGTAGGGTGAACACCAGATACAGTATTCCGGTACTGAAAAAACTGTAGATGTGCATTTTGGAGGTTCTAGAGGTTATGAAAATGCAATCTGTATGATAAACTAAGGTATTTTTATTTTTCACATGAACATTTCCTTGCACTATAATTTGTTAAAGTCTGAGTAGACTGACATCATCTGTTCCCAGACATATCTTAAGTACTAATATAATTGTAACATATTATTTTTGTATACAATAGACTTGTATACTTAGTAAAAAACTCGCCACATTTTGTGTAGATACATGTAGTAAATTCGGAATTACAGTCACCACTCCTTCTCTGATATGGGGTCCGTCACTAGACATTCACATGCACATTCAGTTAATTTCTACTTACCTACACATGAGCAACACTCTGTATATAAATCATCCAAACAATAGAAACAGTTACGATTGCAAGTCACATTTGTTTTCTCGCACTTGCAGGACTGAGTGAGCATACATTTGCTTACAATTGATCCACAGACTCCTTCATTGCACTGGTGAGTAATGGACAGAAAAGTAACAAAGACCACACCAACAAAGATAAACATCACCTTTCTGTCCATGTTGACTCCCTAGAGGAAAACAAAAGACTTAAGACCAACATGAAGAAATAAAATACAGGTTTGAATATCTTATATTACAATTATTTTGAATATGCAAATCAGGATGTCATGTGATAACCACAGCTGATACAAATCTGTGATAGTACAGATTGCATCAAAACTACAATTTGAATTACTTGGCATTTTGCAAGTAGTCTAATTTTCTGGTTTAACATTTTTATTACTGTTTAGTTTAAAATCAATATAAAAACAAACATGTGTAAGAAGCATTATATTGATATATAAAAAAAAGTACTCAAATTTTTGTGTGATTTTGTAAACTGGTACATGTTTACCTGACATACATGTACACTACAGAGTTAACATAACATAATATTTTGGGACAACATGGGACCTATTGGTTCATCTCGACTGTTCCATCCTCTAAACTAAACTAAAACTATTAATAAACAAATTAAATTTTCAAAAATCTTAAAGCAAGCCCTTATCATTCATATAGTTATCAAGCTTTTTCTTAACCTCATTTAAATTTACTGCTACCACAACATTTGATGGCAACCCATTCAAAAGGCCAACCACCTTGTTAGAAAAATTAAACTTAGTTAAAGATGATTCCTACCCTGCCAAAATTTATATTTGTATCCCCTAGTCCTACTGTTTTCACTGTTAAGTATGAAAAAAGATGATGCATCACACTATCAATTCCCTTTACAATCTTAAACCCCTCAATCAGATCCTCCCTAACTATTCTTTTT